AACTTTCTAATGTCTTCTATTTTGTTGCTTCTTTCTCAGTGCTAGTTGTACATCCATCTCCTCTAAATTTGATATCAGCTGCAAAATATAGTATTGAGTTCCTCATTCCAAAGTCCAAGTTTTTGCTTTCTTTTTTGGGCAGTTTGCCATGCATTCAGCTAATTAATCTATGTGGAGTTGGATAAATCTTTATCACAAACTATTGTGTGATACTTAATTGTAAGAACTGGAACTGCAGATTACAGAAGGGACAGGGATGCAAGGTGTTAATAGGATAACTGACATTTCTACCTGGAGGAGTTTGAAGGGATCAGTGGGAGATGTAAGTGGAGGAGAGGAGCCTACACATGAGTCAGGACTGATTCACTCCACTCTTTCACAAGGAAAATTACATAGTTGAACACAGAGCCCCCGTCAGCCTAACTCTGGAATTCCCTTTCTAATCCTCTCTCTCCTTTAAAGATTTTCCTTAAAACTCTCTTTGAGCACCTTTTTGATCACCTGTCCTAATATTTCTGGTGTTGCTCAGCGTTAGTTTATGCTTGGGTACATGGGGATATTTTTATCAGCACTCTGTAACTGCAGATGGTTAAGGGAATAATATACGATGAAGGATTGGCTGCTCTATTCTTTCTTCATAAAAGATAAGAGAAAATATGAGGCAGTTGTAGAATGCATATCTATAGCACAGTTCCTGACCACTGGATGTTTCAAAATATTTTACAGTCAATGAACTATAACAAGGACTGCAGTTCAAAAAGTATTGTAGGAAACAGGATAGGACATTTGCTCACAACACGCTTCGATAATCAGGAACAAAAACAGAAGTTGCTGGAAAAGCTCAGCAGGTCTGGTAGCATCTGTGAAGACAAAATCAGAGTTAACGTTTCAAGTCCAGTGACCCTTCTTCAGAAGCATCTGCAGTTCTTGCGGTTCTTATAGCTGGGAGAGACGTAATGTCTAGATTATCTGTTTTTATGATGTTGACTGAGAAATATATAGTAACCAGAACACCAGGGATAATGCTCTGATTTCCTTGAAAATAATATCACAGTATTTTTTTTTTTTAAGTGTCCCCAAAAAGGAAAAATGGAGGCAAAGTTTGTTCACTCATCTGAAAGATGGAAAAATCAGCAGTGCAGCATTTCCTCAAGTTTTTCTGGGCACCCAGCCTCCTAGTTCAGAAGTAGGTACACTATCACTCCACCACAACAGCTGCACTTCCACATAATACAATTATTCATAGATGGTTATTACCTGGTACTTATGTGGCACAAATGTTACTTAGTATTTACCAGTCCAAGCCTGAATGATGCCAAGGTCTTGCTGCTTATAAAGTGGACTGCATCAGTACCTGAAGTGTCATGAATGGTGCTGTATGTAGTGCAATCATCACAAACATTCCCACTTCTGATCTTATGATGATAGGAAGGTCATTGATTCATAGAATCCCTACAGTGAGGAAGCAGGACATTCAGCCCATCGAGTCCGCACAGACCCTCAGAAGTGCATCGCTCCCAGACCCCTATCCCCGCCCAACTCAAACTCTGTAATGCTGCATTTCTTATGGCTAATCCACCTACACTGCACATCCCTGGACACTGTTGGCAATATTAGCATGGCCAATCACCTAACATGCACATCTTTGGTCTAAGTCAGAAGTCTCACGCCACCAGGTTATAGTCCAATAGGTTTATTTTTTAAAAAAAAATCACAAGTTTTTGGAGTGCTGTACCTTCGTCAGGTGAAGTGACAAAGGAGCAGCACTCCAAAAGCTTGTGTTCTCAAATAAACCTATTGGACTATAACCTGATGCTGTGAGGCTTCTGACATTGCCTAGCCCAGTCCAACACTGGCATCTCCACATCATGGCATCTTTGGACTGTGGGAGGAAACCAGAGCACCCTGAGGAAACCCATGCAGACACCGGGAATATGTGCAACCCCACACATACAGTTACCCGAGGCTGGAATCAAACCCAGCGCTAACCATCGAGCACCATACCAACAATTTTCCACATTTTTGAACAACTGAAGATGATTGGATCCAGAACACTATCCTTAGGAATGCCTGCAACATTGTCCTGGGTTAAGATGACTGACCTCAAAACACCACACCCAGTTTAGTTTGTGCATTGTATGACTCTAACCAGTGGTGAGATTTCTTCCTGATTTCTCTTGACTACAGTTTTGTTATGCCACCTTCAGGCTACATTTGGTCAAATACTGGCTTGGTATCAAGAGCACTCATCCTCACCTCATCTGTTCTTTTTGGACTAAGCAAGACTTCATTAGGTCAGGAACTTAGTCACCCTGGCAGAACCCAAACTGGGCAGTGAACAGGTTAACATTATGTAGGTGCCACTTGATAGCACTGTCAAGACCCCTTTCAACACTTTGCTGATGATGAGAGTAAACTGATTGGGCAGTAACTGGGTGGGTTGGATTTGTCTTGTTTTTTGTGGTCAGGACATACCTAGATTATTTTCCACATAACACTGACATTTACCCAAATTGGGTATTGGAATACCTTGGATAGGAATGCGGCTAGTTCTGAAGCATAAGACCCACAGCTTTTACCATAGCCAGTGTCCCACTCAGTATCCCATGGTAATATTGTGGCGGGGAATATTGTTATGGACTAATGTATCTGTGATGAGTAGATTGGTGAAGATGAGGTAAAGTAGGCTTTTCCCTTTTATTGGTTCCATTGCCATCTGCTGCAGACCCTGTCTAGTAGCTACGTCCTTTAGGACTGCATCAGCTCAGTCTGTGGTACTACTGAGCTACTGATGGAGATGGTGATCGAAGCTTCTTGAAATTGGTGCTCAACAGAGAGGAGTACTGATTCATCAGATGAGATGGAGGAAGGGAGCAATAACGGGTTACGCGCAGGATGTTTCCTTGCCTAAGTTTGCCATAAGGACTTCATGGGATGTGGGTCAATGTTGACAACTCCCAGGACAACTCCTTTCTAACTGTATACCACTGTGCCACCAACACTGGGAATAGTGATGGCGGTGTCTGGGACATTGTCAGGTATGGTTTGATGAGTGTGACTGTCAGGATGTTATTTACTTGTCTATGGGTCGGCCCTCCCAATTGGCTGGTGGTGCCATTGTTGTTTCCAGTGCCTAGTTTAATGCCAGATGATCATGCAGTTTCACTTTTTTCTTAAAAAGTCATTTGGTAGAACTGAGCAGCTTCTCTGGCCACTTCAGAGGACAATTGAGGCAATCACATTGCTGTGCCTGGAGTCACAGATTAGGGTAGCTGATTAAGAATCATTGAATCCCTACACAGCAGAAAGAGGCCATTCAGCCCATTGAGTCTGCACCTACCTTTCAAAGAGCATTCCACTCGGTCTCAGGCCCCTACCCTATCCCTGTAAACCAGTATTTACCATGGCTAATCCATCTAGCCTAGATGTCCCTGCTCACCACAGACAATCTAGTGTGGCCAATCCACCTAATCTACACATTTTTGGATCACTAGTAAACCAGATAAAGTTTTATTGTCTGTGCTAGGATTACTTTTAATTATATATTTTGTTAAGGAGCAGGTGGGAGGAAGAGCTGATGGTCTAGTGGTGTTATCACTAGACTGTTAATCCACGGACCCAGATAATGTTCAAATCCCATCACAGCAGATGGTGGAATTGGAATTCCATCATTAAAAACTCTGGGAATTATTGAGTCTAGCGATGACCATGAATTCATTGTCGATTGTCAGGAAAAGTCCATCTGGTTCACTAATGCTCTTTAGGGAAGGAAACTGCCTTCCTTACCTAGTCTGGCCTACATGTGACTCTGACCCACAGCATTGTGGTTGACTCTCAACTGGCCTGGGCATTTAGGGATGGGCAATAAATGCTGCCTAGCCAGTGATGCCCTAGTCCCGTGAATGAATACGGGGAAAACAATTGAATTTAAATTCCACTAGTTGCTGTGGTGGGATTTGAAACCCTAATTCCAGAGATTAGTTTGGGCCTCTGGATTACTAGTCCAGGCCATGATCACTATGCCACATCTTTCCTAATCTTGAGCTTTGTTTATTGAATCCCCTTGTATTTAATTAACCATTTATTTATACTTTAATCTACATAGTTTTGATTAGATTGATTGGGAAAAGAGTTGAGACCATGAAGAGAAAGAGAGTCTGGAGGGTGGGGGGGCTAACCAATACAGAGGGGCAACGACAGAAAGGAGGTGGGGGAGCATTAACAGAAAGGGGGCGTCGAGGGCAAAAGAGAATGGAATGGGAGAGAAAGGGATAGAGAAGGGGACGTGGTGGTTAAGATTGCTGAATAAAGTAAAATTGAAGTCTAGCAATCTAGGCCAATACGTGAAAACCTAGCACCCATGAGGTATTGGGAACATGGAGCACGGCAGTGACAGGCACAAGACAGAACGGAAAGCCGAACAGTCGCCGTCACTCTAGTCTGACCTACTTTGGTCACTGGCGACTCGGCTGCGATCTGAGCATTGAATCCACTGAGGGGCCGTACCTCAGGAACTTTCACTACGGATGCAAAACTTCCAACCTGCTTTGATTCTAACCCCATTCCCAGAATGTTTCTCTCTTTCTCTCTCTGTCTGTCTTTCTGAACGGTCCCGGCAGAGTTAAACTGGAGAGGAGGGGACAAGGTCGGCGCGGAGCCTGCTGTATTCGTCACGATCCCGAAGGCGCTCTCTCCTGCCAGGCTGAGCGATGAATCACTCGCTATTTACGAAGTCGTACTCACGCAATTCTCACCGCCTCTTACCTTCTTCCTCTCGCTCTCCCCCGCGCGCCTTCCTCGTCTCCACTTTTCTTTTAAAAAAATAAAATACCAGAATCGCGGGGGTTCCCAGCACTCTAGAGCTTTGGGGAAATTGGATTTCAAGTCAAAGTAACCGCTCTATTAAGTTTTTAAAAAGACCCCAAGGAGCAGTGATTCTTCCCTTGCTACAAAAAGTATCCACTTTGAAAAGATAATGAAACTGACACTTTGTAACTCACCCGCTGCGTCCAGTCAGCGCGTTCCGCTACATTGTAACCTCTCACTGTGTCAGTTTCACTCGCTCCGGACAGTGTCAGCTGCTCCCGACCGTGGACCCGGATCTAGTTGCTGGGCAACACGACGGGGGCGGTATTACAGGAGAAGTCCAGGGGACGGGCAACTAACGCCCTCCCAACCGGGCGAGAACGCCTGCGCACGAAGCTGTCGCCGTCTCTGTGCCTTTTGGGAGTTGTAGTTCTGATAGTGTCAGAGGCCTTGAGGACATCGACACAGGAGGCCATTTCATCCCCACGGGGGTGATTCTTTTCTCCAGTTAGGTCTCACGAGTCTCTCTTTTAGAAGTGTAAGTCTTTAACGGCTCCAAGGGAATGCCAACACGTTATAAAGCCTTTTCCTGACGGCAACAGCTTTCTAAGGCTGATTTAGACTCCTGGTAGATAAGGTAGAATCATCTGGACTCAAAACGTTAACTTGCTTTCTCACCACGGATGCTGCCTGAGCCACTGTGATCTCCATGTTTTATTTTCAGTTGAGACCACAGCCAGATAAGCCATGATTTTATCAAATGTAAGAGCAGGCTTGGAGGACTGAATGGCCTAGTCCCGCTCCTGTACTCACTCATCCAAATTACCCTTCAGGATTTTTGACATCCTTCTGGTGCTGTCCAAAAGCCGTTCTTCCAGTGTGAGCCGAGATAGTACAACCACAGTGTAAGTTAACCATCTCAGCCCACCTGATAGCTACATACATCCATCTTCTGGCAAGTAAAATAAACAGCACCCAGTGATCAGGAATGAGGAGTTTTGCCAACTTTTCCTCCTGTATCTCAAGGAAACTGAGATCAACCTTAACATTGAATTTAAATGAAAAAGGGGGAAAATGTCCCTTTTAACATCTAGGATGTGGGCATTCTTGGCAAGACCACATTTGTGGACCGAGAGATAGTAAGAACTGCCGATGCTGGACCTAGTTGGCTTTCAGAAGGTGGAAATGGAACTTTCTTGTCATAGTTCCTAAGATAATGGTGTTCTAACTATAGTAATAGGAGGGGAATGGTAAAATAAATCCAGTACCTCAAAAGAAACAGTGACATATGAGCAAGTCAGGTTGGGTTTCTTTGATTTATTTGGTTTCTCCTTTCATGGGATGTGGGTGTCCCTGGCAAGGTATTGCAAATCACCCTTGAATTGAGTGGCATGCAAGGCCATTTTAAAGAGCAGTTAAGAGTTATCCACATTGCCACAGGCCTGGAGACACATAGGCCAAATTACACAAAGAACAACATTTCAGAGAGTTGTCCAGCATAGAAACAGACCCTTCGAGCCAACTTGTCTATGCTGACCAGATATCCTAAATTAATCTAGTCCCATTTGGCCCATATCCCTCTAAACCCTTCCTATTCATGTACCCATCCAGACGGCTTTATTGAAACCAGACTTCAACTCCAGATTTTGGAAGTTTTTGCATCAGAAAACAGTTGAGGCAGGGTTACTGAATATTTTTAAATTAATGGTGGATAGATTCTTGTGAAGCAGGGGTAATCAAGGGTTATTAGGTGTAGATGGCGATGAGCAATTTGAAACACAAATAGTTAAGTCATGCTCTTATTAAATGACAGAGCAGACTTGAGAGGCCAAACAGTCTAGTTCTGCTCTAATTTTGTATATTCAAGTTTAATTAGTTGAATTTAAATTCCACCAGAAGTATTGAACTTGGAATTATTGTTTGTGAGGAACAGGTTATGGTTAGGCTTATTTTCCAAAACTCTTCAGCACTGGGATTTCCCTCAGGGCATGTCTGGACCTGTTGGAGAGTGATTGCTAAAGACTGATTGCTCTGATTAGTCAGCATATCAGTCATTGATATATCAAATGATTACATGGGTGATAGTAGGTGAACTCGATAAACCTTGGTCTTTTACATTACTTTTCATATGCCGGTTTTCCACAACCAGTGGGGTTTCTTTGGCCTCTCAAAAGGTTAAATTCAATATGTGGGGCTAGGGGAACCAGAACATTTCTTCCAAGGGGAGTAACAATCTCTTGCTCAAACTTCAGCACAAGATCGGTGAAAACATCTTATTTCCCCAAAGTTAAGGCAGGTGATTGAAAATTCCATTTCACATTGCTATTGCTAACATATGTTTGAATTGATAGCATTTCTATATTAACATTGACTTGTATAAAGATGTAGAATCTCTGCTTTGAAATACGCCATCTGTCACAAATAAAGCTGCTTTGGCAAAAAAGCTTGCACAGCCTTCTCTAGCAAGGCCCCAAATACTCACTCACCACATCGAGTGGTTAATATACAAGTTCCATGTCCATGGCTTCTGCAGACATTAAATAAGTTATAAATAAGTCAATGCAGAGTTAAACATTTAATATGCAGTCCGAGACAGCTTTAAAAACTCTCACTGAATTGTAACATTTGAGGAATTAAACTTCCAATAAGCCAATTGATTTTCTGGATAGTGGTTGAATTTAAGATTGTTAACATTTTTAATTGGTACCATGGGGATTATTTTCTTTGTGTTAAGCCAGTGATGCCCACTACACGTTCATCTAACTCAACCTTTAAAAAAGGTGATTTTTTAAAATATCCATACACAACAGATAGTCCAATAGATGGACATGACAGCATTCACTCTCGCATCAGGTGGTTTTAAAAATTCATTCACAGGCTGTGGGCATCACTGGCTAGGCCAGCATTTATTGCCCATCTAAGAGTCAACCACATTGCTGTAGGTCGGGACTTACATGTAGGCCAGACCAAGTAAGGTTGTCAGTTTCCTTCTGTAGTGAACCAGATGGGTCTTTCCCAACAATTGGTGGTGATTTCACAGTCATCATTAGACTTTTTTTTTACTGATTTCAAATTCCACCATCTGTTACAGCAGGATTCAAAACATTACCTGTGTCTCTGGATTAACAGTCCAGAGATAATACCACTAAACCATCACCTCCCCTTGTTAAATCATCCATCACTTCAGTGCATGACTGCAGCTGTGCTTCACTATCCAAACAGCCGAGTTCTCAGATGGTTTACATCCAAAGATTGTCTCAAGGGAACAGCTTTTGGCCTGGTAGGATTTTAAAACCTGAGTTTATTTTTGTGTTTGCTGTATATTGTGGTCTTACGAGACAGGGCACTTTAAAACAAAATGCACTCATACTACACCTTCAATATAGAATAGTAACACACCCAAAGTCACTTCATTGGAGCTATATCTGACAAAAAAAAATGACACCATGCCTCAAACTATTAGGATAAGTGACCAAATGTCAAATGTTGTCAGGGGTTTATAGAAGGAATTTTAAAATTTAGAGCCTAGGCAACAGAAGACACAGTCACCAATGATGGAGCAATGAAAAACAGATGTGCATGAGGCCAGAAATCTGAGTGCTGGTAGAGATTATAGAGACAGGAAGGAATGAGCCCAGTGAGATTTGAAACAATGGATGAGAATTTTATAACAATGTTGTCAGACCAAGAGCCATGGCAGATCAAAAAGTCAAAAAGAATATGGAACATTGCCAAACTAGTTGAACTAATCCCAAAGGGGCACAGATCCCCAATAAAGGTTTTGCAAGACAAAACCACTAGACCCCAGGCTACTATACATTTTGTGGGTATGAATGGTGGCACAGTAGGACTCTCTCTACTGCAATAACATAATTGTATAGAGAGTCAGAAGTAACTATCTGGCCAATTGTTCAACACGCTCTTATCCTTAAGACAGCGCAACTCACAATCCTCCCCTATCCCCAATAAAGTCAATTCTTTCCACAAGGCAAAAGGAAACGATTCTCTGAAAATCCTGCAGAATTCCTCTCTACCTCAGAGCTCCTTAATGTCCTGGCCAATATATATCTGTTGACCAACTATCACTTCATAAAAGTGTTTTTTTACCATTTCCATAACAGGTGTTTTTGAGGTCTTTGTGTGAAAATTTGCTGCTGGAGTTTCTACATTTCAGAAAAGTTTGTATATTTAGGCAAATCTGAAGACTATGAAAGCATTATATAAACGCAAACCTTTTTGTTTTATCCAGGGAATTCAAGGTTGAAGTATGGTGATTGTTGCATGAAAAGACAGAGAAGGTGTTAAGTAGGAAAATAAAACTCCAGATGCAGAATTTGTCTGTTTAAAAATTTTATTTTAAGAAAATGTAAATACCTGCATTTTCATTGGACAGTAATTGCATAGAAATTGAGCAGCACCACAGTCTGCTTAACACATTAAACCACAGCACACTGCTGACACCAACCAAGTCCTGCATTAGCAGCTTAAGTTACAAGCACCTCACATTACCAAAGTGACTGCTCCTTTTACAGTCCTCACCCCAATGGGGAAACAAGGCATACGTGCAGAAACAAGCACTGAACAGACTTTGGAGCTGAAGACACTGGCTAGCCTGTTTAATCAGATAAGGGCATAAGTAATCCCCTCACAGTGGTAGGAGACCTTAGTATTCAAGGCTTTTGTGGTGGTGAAGAGTTCCATGCTAGATCACTGTTCAGCAACCTTTACTGGAAAATGCATATGTAACAACACAAGGTGCATATAGATCAACCAGTTGCATCAACCCCTCTCTGAATAGGCTGGGATCATGCAAGAAGAATCTAGGACACACAGTTGGTCCCTGTGTAGCCAGACCTCAGCATATCAGCACCACTCAGACAGGAGAAACTGCAACCAATTAAACCCCTCAAATTCACTGCTATTCCCTAGAGGTCTGTGTTGAACAGTTGTGCTGGGTTTGTGTGGAACTGTTTATAGGTAGATGTGTAATTTCACTCTAAAGGACTTACTGCATCAAATCATATTTTCCTGCATTAAACATTTCCATAAATATATAACTATTATCATTAAATAAAATTCACATAATTCTCCCTTAACAAGATAGTCTTTTTAATATATGCACACTCGGACACGCACTCACACACACAAACAAACATAAGTCTTATCCAAACTACCTGCTCTCTCCAGTATTGAACTGACATAATCAAAACTATCATTCCATGGTAAGTTAGCCTGTGACGCTTGTATTGCAATTAAAGATAACTGTTAATTTCTCAATTTGAAGTTCAGATTCTGAATAGTCTGGA